TTCTTTTTCAATTTTCTTTCTTTCTTTTTTTTTTTTGCATTATTATTGCAATAAAAATTCATGTCACATAAAGTTAGCCATTTTGAAATGCACAATGCAGTATACTCACAATGTTTTACAACCATCACCTTTATCTAATTCCAAAACAATGTCATCATCCCAAAAAGAGACATTGTACCTATTGGCAGTCACTCCCATTCCCCCCTCCCCCCAACCCTGGCCTCGGCTAATCTTACTTCCTGTCTCGGTAGATTTGCCTCTTTGAGGCATTTCACGCACATGGAATCAGACAATATGTGGCTTTTGTGTCTGATTTCTTTCACTTAGCAGAATGATTTTGAGGTTTATCCATGTTGTCGCATGTATTAGTATTTTCTGCCTTTTGATGGCTGGCTAGCATTCTATTTCACATACGGACCCCATTTCACGTATCCGTCTGTTGATGGGTGTTTGGGTTGTTTACACTGTATGGCGATTGTGGATAATGCTGTTGTGAGCATTCATTACAAGGATCTGTTTGCGTTCCCGTTTTCAGTTCTTTGGGATATATACCCGGGAGCTTCAAAAAGTTCGTAGAAAAATTCCAGGATCTTTTCATTCCATTTTCTACAAACTTTTTAAAGCCCCCTCATAAACCTAGGAGTGGAATTGCTGGGTCATATGATCATTCAGAAGATTTGGGGTGGTGCAAACAGTTTGTATGAGTTGGAACCAACTCCACGGTACATAACAACAACAATAAACAGTTTGTGCTCAGCTGGCAGTCAAAAAGTTGGCAGAAGAAAAGACTGGCGATCTGCTCCTAGAAAGATAATAGCCAAGGAAACCCTACTCTATAACACATGGGGTCCCCATGGGTTGGAATTGATTGGAAGGCAAAGGAAGACAACAACAACAACACAGTAATTCAGGAATCCCTGGGTAGTGCAGATGGTTAATGCACTGGGCTGCTAATTAAAGGATTGAAGGTTAAATTCCACCCAGAAGCACCTTGGAAGAAATGCCTGGCAATCTACTTCCACAAAATCAGTCATCGAAAACTCTGTGGAGCACAGTCCTACTCTGACACACATGGAGTTGTTGTTATCAATGGCGCTTTGTAGACAATTCTTTGTGATTGAAAATGCCCACGTTAAGTGGTTTTTATATCCAGTACTTGCTGACCCAGATAATTTGCTTCTGGGTGGCAGGAATAGCCCTTGACATTTGGAACCTTCACACATGGACTTAATTACCTGGAGACAGAAAGCAAGGTGGTTTTAGGCCCTGGGAGTGGGGCGGAAGGGATAGGAGGCATGGGCTCGCTTAGCAATTCAATTCAATGCAGTGTGACCACATTTATTGAGCAACTCTGAGCCCAGCATGTGGGGGAGGGAACAAAACAGCCTGTCTGTTGCCTCATTGCTTCCTGGTGACTCTGAGGCACTGACCTGGGGGGCTGGGGGTGACATGATGGCTTACATCTATCCCTTAGCTAAAAGATGAGATTCGAAGCCAGCCAGAGGCACTCAGAAGAAAGGCCTGAAAAACTGCTTCCAAAAGGTCACAGCCTCGAAAGCCCTAGGGAGCAGTTCATGGATCAGAATGACACAAAGGGACTTAACAACCACCACCATCAGCCGCCATCAGCTCCTTTCTCACCGTTAACCAAAGCACCTATGGTATCGACCAATGAAAGTCGTTATTTTTATTTGCTGCAAAAAGAATAAAAGATCTAATTTTATCAGTATTTTAGGAAAGAAAAATAATATTAAAACATCTTAGATTTGTAGATTAATTCCAAGCACTAACACATGTTTTATTTCATTATTTTTCCTCAACCTTTGATCCTAAATAATACTAATAGTAGTAGTATAACATATAACGGTAAAAACAATACAAATCATTTACTAAGCATTCAGGCCTCCCAACAACTGGGTGAGATAGACATACTACAATGATCCCATTTTACAGAAGAGAAAATGGACACACAGAAAGATGAATGGATTTGACAAGGTCACACAACTTCTGCCTCACCTTTCGTGCTCTTCATTCTGTCTGAGTCTCCTGATTAGTTGGCAAGTCGAGTTCAACTATGGTAGTCTCTTTTCTCTTCCTTTCAGCAAGTTACCTCTTTCTCTCTCTCTTTCTTTCCATCCCTATCTAGCCACCTGTCCTTTTTCTATCAAGATCCTAAATTCAGAGAAGCGAAAAATCCTCCTTCTCTGGAGCTACTGCTTCTGCAAGGGCCTAATCCTGTTTCAAGAAAGCCCATGCAAGAACAGGCCACGAGAGGGTAGTGGCATTCTTTGTAATCAGGAGATGTCAGGGAGGACAGACTTGATTTGTAACAGCAGCTGAACACCCGGAAATAGGATCCTAGGACCTACAGAAATGGGGTTGGTACAACTGCAGCTGCCAACTGAAACCAGCCGTAAAATTCCCCTTCCAGATCTCGTCTATGTTTGGATGATGCAGTGGACCCCTACACCAGCCGGCCAGTCCCAGAAGGCAGGGTAGTGGGGGAGCAGGATGGCTGCCACCCAGCAGAGAATTAACTAGGAAACAAGCCTGCCACCTGGCCCTGCCCACCCCTTCTGGCTTCCTCCCCAGGAAAAAGGAAGTCCAGGAGGTACAGAAATGGGGAAGTCTGTGCCACTTCAGCATGTATATGACACTTGACTCTAATGGCCAGGGCAACAAAGTCCCCTTCCCCTGAGTGTTTAGCAGGAGGCTTCAGACAGAAAAGGAGAACAATTTCGAACCCAACTTTGCCTCCCCCCAAATCATTACAACTAAGGCCTTTCCAGAACCAGCATATCTTTTTTTCCTTTCACATGCCAGTTGCAAGCATTGGCATAATATTTATAACTAATTTTCAGTCCCAAGTCCTCAAGGTCAGCAGTTTGAAACTACCAGCCCTTCCGCGGGAGAAAGATGAAGCTTTCTGTTCCCGTAAAGATTTACAGCCTTGGAAACCCTCTATAGGGTCGCTAGTCCCTGTGAGTCGGAATTGACTCCATGGTAAATACCACCACCACCAAGTGGGTCACTGGTACTGACAAAATCAGGTGCCATTTTGAAAACTGCTTCCCTTTCCACCCACATCCTCGTTGGTGAATATTTCCTATGTAACTTACATGTGCATCCAGAAACCTCCTTATGCCGGGAGGGAAAGCTCGATAATACACAGGGTTTGAGGTTTTTAACTTCATTTTTTTAAGATGTTCGAGATAATGGAATCTCACATAGTTAGCAACCACTTTTAGGACTTAGGAAAATAAGGAAGAGGAAAGTAAGAGAATTTCTTTATTATCACGCAGCAAGGCAAGAGCAAAGCTCAAGGTAGACTTACTTTTCAATAGAGAGGCGTTATGTTTCACAAACTGCTGACAAATTGCCCTACACCCCGCAAATATCACCGTGGTTTGACTTGGTTGCTCACAAAACTACAGTGATGAAAAAATATGGATGTTATAGTGATGAAACTTTTCTTTTTTTCAATCACTTGAGGGTGCATACCTCCCACCCAAGTCAAGGAGCAAGCTATGGAGAGAGACAAAGGCCTAGGGTGGGGCGATGGCCCTCCATCGGTCTGCAAGCTGAGTCACAGCTTCGCGCGGGCGGTGGGCGAGGCCCTGCTGCGAGGGAGCCCCGCGCGCCTTAGCTCGGCTGTGTCGGTCTCACACAATGGCAGTGTCGCAGTAAAGGAATGCTTGTCCCCCTAGATCCCAGCCCCATAGTGATCATACACAGATCTCTGCTGCTATGGCAAAAATTCATGACAATCGACATCAAATGTCGTGGGGTGGGTATTCTGTCGCTAGCTTTTCCTCCCTCCAGGCGTTCGGGTGCGTTAGGGGGCCGCGGGCGACGTTGCGGAGGCGCGAAGGAGTTAAGCGGGACATCAGGTGACATCATCTCATTTACATAGCAGCGCGCATAAAGCAGCGCCGCGCGCCCCGCCCGGCACTCGGCGGCGGCCACTGAGCTCAAGGACACCGCTCGCTCTCGTCTCGCTTGGTGAGCCCCCGGACCCTGCCCTTGCCCCAGCCCTGAGGTGTCCCCTCCTGCCACCTTCGCCCATCCCTTCATCACACTCCTAGCCAGCCACCTCTGAAGCCCAGCCCCGGAGTCCTCCCTAGAAGGCTACTCGGGTAGTTTGGCGCGGAAAGTCTCCAGATGCTTGCTAACGGGGTCGGGAACTGAATGATTTTTCAGAAACACGGGCGTTTCGCCTTGCTGGTTTGAGGGAACAGTTCTTTTAACTCCTTTCCCCCACCTCAGGCCTCTTCCTTGGCCGCTGAGGCTGGGGTTTAGCAGACACAGAAAAATCTTTTGTTCCAGCTCACACCCACCCAGCCCAGATTCCCAACAGCTCCATTTTCCCCCCCTTCGGGCCACTGGGTACAGTATTAAGGTGGCTGCCCTTCTCAGGAAGGAACGTAAACGAGGGACGCTCGCTGCAGCCGGGGATTGATGACTGGGTTTGGGAGAGGATATGATAGCATTGTTGCGCGGGAGGAGGAAGCAATAGGCAGGGCGGTGGTCGGAGGCGCCCGCAGCAGCTGCAGTCTTTGTGTCAGTGAAGAAAGCGCCACCAGGCCATAGCTTGGGGGAGGAACCAAGCAGAGAAAAAGGGGCACACTTTGTGCATCCTCGGCTGCATTTAAAGAATTATCCGCCCCTCCCCTCCCACTTAAGCTCTTAATTTGGAGTGGCTTTACTGTTCTCTGATCTAGGCAAATTTTCTTTTTTCAACGCTGCAATTAACAAGCCACTCTGATTAATTTCAGTCTTCTGAAAGATTTGCCCTCTGTCTGCACCCCCGCTCCCTCCGCGTTTTGAAATACTGGGGTGGGAAGGACCTCTTTTTTTTTCTCCTGAGGAGAGGACTCTTCTTTATTTAGCATTTAATAAAAACCGAATGAGAAAGGGGTTCAGGCAAGAAATTGAAGGGGGGCGGCCAGAGAGATGATGGTGGGTGGATTACCCTCCCCCTTGGCTTTTGTACCTGCAGATTCCACCGCTACACCATGTCTGACAAACCCGATATGGCCGAGATTGAGAAATTCGATAAGTCGAAATTGAAGAAGACAGAAACGCAAGAGAAAAATCCACTGCCTTCAAAAGAAAGTAAGCTTTCCCCCTCCGCCCCTCACTATCTTGGGACCAGGCTGGGCGGGAGTGGCCAGGAGGAACTGGGAGAAGAATTCAGGGGTGGGGGGGGTTGGAGGGAGAAAGAAGCGCGGGGAGGAGCCAGCAGCTTTATGATTAATGTGCATGGAGAGATTAATTAAAAATGGTTTTGCAGTCAGCACATGGCAACACTTTGGTAATTGAATCTAAACCTGGAATAAAGAATATAGCTTAACAATATACCCATACACTTATCTGTTAAAATGCGCATCATTTTACGTATAATAGAAATATTTCATTGTGGAATTGCCTATTTATGCTTGTAGAGATTTTATGATGTGAAAAGATGCTTTCAAGGCAAATACTGCCCTTCAGTTCGAGACTTTAGGAGGTACTGTTAATCATCCTCCATCTTTTTTGTCCCCTCTCTCCCGTTACAGCGATCGAACAGGAGAAGCAAGCGGGCGAATCGTAATGAGGCGGCGCCGCCAATATGCACTGTACATTCCACAAGCATTGCCTTCTTATTTTCCTTCTTTTAGCTGTTTAACTTTGTAAGATGCAAAGAGGTTGGATCAAGTTTAAATGACTGCTGCCCCTTTTCACATCAAAGAATCGAGAACTACTGACAACGAAGGCGGCGCCTGCCGCTCCCATCGGCCTGTCTGGCTGGCAGGGAAGGAAAAGAACTTGCATGTTGAAGGAGGGAGCTGGGTGGGACGACAGTGAATAAAATATATAGAGTAAAAACAAAGCTGGTCCAAGGTGTCCTGCAGGCGTAAAATGCAGTTTAATCGGGGTGCCATTTTTTTTTTTTGTTCAAATGATTTTAATTATTGGAATGCACAATTTTTTTAATATGCAAATAAAAAGTTTTAAAACCTGCCTGTTGTGTGTGACTGTTTGGAATTTGGAAGGTTCAACTGATTCACCAGTAAAACCTTTCTTGCGTCATCATCCACGTTCTTACCAGGGGAGCAATAAATGACCAGCGTCTGGGGATCTGAGTAAATTCGATAACAGCTAGAAAACGATTTTCACTGAGGTATGTGTGGTACCTTGCCTATAATAGCTGATTGAGAGAACATTTACTTGGGCTGATTACATTTTAGCAGTTGTATGAACATCATGCTTGGGAAGGTGGAGGGTCGGTGAAAAAGCGTAAGACGCCTAAAGAGATACATTGGCTCAATGCCAGCAGCAACGGGCTCAGGCTCAAGTGTAACAATGATTGCCAGGATGGTGCAGGACACAGGACAGTATTTTGTTCTGTTGTATGGGGGATGCTATGAGTCAGTGTCGGACACCTAACTAGTTGTATAAAAGGTACTGAACAGTTAATAATTTGTAGGTTTTGATAAACACTGAATTTATGCCCTAAAGTCAAAGTGACGGTGGTGACCATTTTTTTACACCATTGTTTCTTACTTAAGGTATTTTACTTGAACTTAGGTCATTTAACCAATTACTTAGCATCATCACAAACCATAAACAAATAAATTGGGTAAAAACTGATTTTTTTTTTTAGTAACTGCTTTACAAGGAATTTGGAACGTAAGCCTTTCTCATTGCCCAATAGCTGGTTTCTAATTAAAATTCAATATTTAGGATTGCGTTTATAAAAAGATGAATGTGTTTTACAATGATTTTATAATTTCTGAAGTCTCATGATTTATAGGATTAAATAATTTTGAATTTAAAAGATAACTAAACAGGACTCTTGAAGCTTGGACTAGATTTAAATCCAGCTGGTAGTCGTTGATCTCTGGTTTTTTATTGTTTTAGACTGATGATTATTCAATCATTTAAGATCCATCTTTTCTGTGGTGGGTGAAAGCTAAGTCCTTGATGTGCATGCAAGGTGGGGAAAAATGGATATCATTTAATTTTTTTTTTTTTTTAAGTAACAGGTATGTCTTAATGAATCCCTGTGTTATATAAGAAAGGTACATGTTTAAAAGAAGATGCCAATTTTATTAAGTGGAGAAACAAAAGAATAGTGTTTACAAAGGGTAGCGTACCCAACATTGCAGCAAAGCTAAAATTCACATTATGAACATCCAAGGAACTAAATTCATTTGTTTTTTCCCCAAAACTGATTTATGAAAATACTCACTTTGAAGGTCAGGGGGTAGGGTGGGGCAAATTGTTGCTCATTATTAAGCTAGCTCATTTCCTTTATTTGCTCAACACTTATTTTGAGAAATACACAGGAAACCATTTACCTGTGGTTTCCACAATCAACTAGAACATCAGCTAGGAGCCCTGCAAGGGAAGGATGTGGACTTGCTACTGCACACACAGCCTGAGAGCTTGATCAATACAAGAGACATCAGTCAGCACAAAAGGCCTCGGAACCATCCCAAGATGGAGACTGGCCCTCCAGCCCCACAATGCCTTTCTGGTCTGAAAGGAAGAGTGTGGGCAAAATTGAAAATGCCCCAAGGTACACAGAGAAGCCAATCTTTCTGCAGGTTTTGCTGGGAGCCTCTTTCAAAGATGAAATGAGATAGTAAGAAATTAGCACAACGCCTGTATTCTAAGTTTAAAGATGAAAACGAGCATTAAGGGAAGGGATGATTTATGAGATCAAGTCACAGTTAAGAGCAGACCTTTCTCCCCTGGGAGGACAAAGCTAAAATACAGGGGTGGGGAATTGACAAGAAAAATTCAGCAATGATTGAATTGCTTGGTGTGTAGGATGAGGGACTCCAGAAACAAAACACGCTCATTTTGCACACTTGAGTGATGCACATTTGGGGCGGGGGGAGGGGGGTTGGAGGTTGGAAGACACTATGTATATTATTTGGTGTGGGAAGAGAATTCTTTTTCTCTTCCCAAGAGAGAATCTTTCCGGAAGGGCTGGGGGTATTTACGAATCCGTTTGGGAATTCATACTCATGGTCTTTTTGAGAGCTAGAAAAGAAACATTAGGCTGACAATTAACATGAGAGAATGTTCTGATGGAAGGTGACCCTAGCCACTGCATCTTGACCCTGTCCTCTTCCCCAAGGAGAAACAGACCAATGGAATTTGAAGCGATAGCTGAAGCTCACACAGCCCGGTCTGGGACTTCTGCAAAATTTGAATTGATCAGGATGAATAAAGCACAGATAGAGGAAATGAAGAAGGCTGAGCTACACTTAACTTTGCAATCTCACAAATATCTCAATCAGAACAGTCCCATTTTCCCAGTTTTCCAATAGATAGAATTCGAAGTTCTTTCATTCTTTCAGGAAAATAAGTCAGTTTGTGGTCTGTGTTCAAAGACTGGGGGTGAGGTGGGGGCTGTTTGTGAAATCTTATCAAACATTTGAGCGTCTACTAGACTGGGCCTCTGGCATCTCACAATCATTGGATTCTCCCCATTCTCTTGTGAGTTAGAAAATGCTCTCTTTAAATGTAAGGGGGTGCAAACATAAACTAATTTTGTATTGTTTCTAAATCTAAGAGGTCAATTTTGTACTAACCATAATGAACAGTACATTTTGGAGACATTGCGGTCAAAAAGTGACAGAATACCTTAAGCCTTGTTCAATGCAAGAATGTCAAACTAAAATTGTGGGGTTTTTTGTTTGTTTTTTTAAACAGGAAAAGCACTTAAAATTTGCTTTACCCTGATAGTCTTCACTGGCCTAGCAAGAGAATAAGAAAACTCCCCTCCCCTCCATCCCTTCTGATTTTTTTTTTTTTCTTCTCACTTTTAGATTACATTTTCAAGTGTGACTTACATTGCAATCTAAGAGAACGAAACACACCAAATTGGCATTCAATGATAGTTTATTTCCATGTCATGAGAAGGATCATTTTAAGATACAAATGTGTAATGACATAAACTTAGGAGGAAATATGTTTCAAAGAGCTGTTTTTATTTTGCCTAATTTTCCCTTGGATACTTTCCTAGCCTTCAAGTTCCCTGGTTATTTTGTTGTGTGTGAGTATCCGTCCTACTCTTAGTGTCTGAGACTTTCGTGAGCAGGGTCCATGCATTCGACGGTTCATATCTGCACTTTTACTTATGTGTCCAACGTGGGCTAGCATAGTAAAGGAGCGGATTAGGGCTTTAACTTGGTCAAAGCTGATGTCATAGTTAAGATGGCCTGATGATGTAGTGGGTTACAAGTTAGGCTGTGAACCAAAAGGTTGACTGTTCGAATCCAACAACCACTCCAAGGGAGAATGATGAGGTTGTCTATTCTCAAAATCAGTTATAGCCTTGGGAACCCAAAGAGGCAGTTCTACTCTGTTCTGCAGGGTCACTAGGAGTCCAAATTGACTCGGTGGCATTGGGCTGTTTTCATTTTCTTCTTTACTGTCATACTTAATGCTTCTACCATTGAGGGCTTTTCTCCCTTGATGGAGACATCATTAATAAAGAGCCCTGGTGACTGGTGACACTGCTTATTGAAAGGTCAGTGGTTGGAACTCACCAGCTGCTTCATGGAAGACGGAAGTGGCAGCCTGCTTTTGCAAAGGAGACAGCCATGGAAATCTATGGGGCAGCTCTTCTCTGTCCTACAGGGTCACTAAGTCGAAATCAACACTACAGCAATGTTTTCTTTTCCCTTGCATTTCACAGGCTTGTTTTGGTGTACCTTAGAACATATAAGCAATATATATTTTAAAAACATATTTGTAAAAATACAAAGAGCTTTGAAACTGTCATTTCCTTGAGTTTGCTGAATTAAACCAACACTTATAGCCAACTACCTATTATTAAGCCAAAGCACTACATCATTAGTTTATTCTGCCAACACCTATGTGTCAGACATTTTATTTGCCATAGACATACAGTATGAGAAGTAATCCCTGCTCCCTCCTGTGGCTTCCACAAGTTGCCATAGAGGCAATTATGACTCATTTGACTAGCACCACCCCTACACCCCCTTGCCCAGCCCCTTTCTTCACGCCCATTTCAAAGTAGAACTGTGCCCCACAGGGTTATCAATGACTGATTTTTCAGAAGTAGATGACCAGATCTTTCTTCTGAGGTGCCTCTGGCTAGGCCAGAACTGCTAACTTTTCTGTTAGCAGTTGAGTACTTAAAAGTCTGCATACCCCACGAACTCCTCATGTGTCTTACATTGGTTAAAAGATGCCCTATATCTAACTGGAAATTTGGAAGAAACTGTTTTAGGGTGAATCATGAACCTAAGGGTTTAGAAGGTTTTAGTATGTATCTTAAAGGTTTTAGGGCATACTCGTTGATCTGTTGTTGTTGTTAAGTGCTATTGAGTCAGTTTTGACTCATAGTGACCCTGTATAGGGCTCCCAAGGGGTGGCTGGTGTATTTGAACCGCCGACCTTGTGATTAGCAGTCCAGTGCTTATCCAACAGCGCCACACCAGAACTCCACTCTTAGCTTTAGGTGTGGACATTTCCCCTAATGTGTCTATAGTAATTATAGTCACAGCCTCTAAAAGCTCACTGGTGAATTCACTTAGGCGCAATTCAGCTGCTTCTTAGCATCACAATCAAAGGTTTTTTCTGTATTGAGCAATTTGGCAGGAGAACTCTTGCTTGTCATCCTCTGATCATCCTTTCTGAGGAATGTCCAAGATCTAGGAATAAAGTGTCAATAAATTGTTGTTAGTGCCAGTGAGTCTGTTCCAACTCATAGTGACCCTGTATAGGCTTTCTGAGGAGCAACTGGTAGGTTTGAACAGTTGACATTATGGTTAGCAGTCCAGTGCTCATCCTACCGCATCACACCAGAAGTGGATAAATAGCCTCTTCATATGTATCTTTTTCTAGAATTTTATGATGCAGATGTTGAGTTTCCAGAGATGCGTTTCTCACTACTAACCCCTTAGTCTTCCCTAGTTCATCTTCTCTCTCCAATTGACTCTAAGTAGTCATTCACATTTTGAACTCCTTCAGGG